ATTATTATTATATATATCCTCTCATACACACATACATTATTAAATTCTAATGTTTGTAGCCCCCTTGCCGACTTCTTCTGTAGAGAGGGGTCGACCCAGGAGCAGGACTTCGTACGAGTAGACAGGTTACACACTTACCTCGATTGGGTATTATATGTTAAATTTAAATATCATGTCATATTTTAATATAATTTCTTTGTTCATTTTTCAGCATCCTGGCATGCTCTTGTTGATATATAGGACACTCCTCACACTCTTCCTATCTCTTCTCCCTTAAAAGCAATTTGCCTGGACATTGCACATAATTCTCCGGGCCCATATAAGTTTTCTCATACGAATGAAAGGAATTAATGTATTTTATTTATTTTTATATTAATTGATTAAATAATGAATATATTGACTTTTTTCACTCAGGTGGTAAGTTTTCTCTTGGGCTACAGCCTAGCAGACTTACACCTGCTCCACCAGCTCATCACACCAGTTCGAGTCCGGCATTGGGCATAGGTAGCCCTTCACATCACCCATCATCAGGTGACCTGCACATAGAAGATCACTCAGGCACTCAGATCCCACATATCGCAATCACTACTTCTGGTGCTTCTGGTAAAGTTAGAGGTAAATATTTCTTATATGCTTATTTATTTAATGGCCTTTATTTATTATTATTTCTCTCCTTTCACTTCCCTTTAATATATGTTTGTAGGTGACAACCAGTATTTTTTATGGATCTCATTGTCGGTGGTCCTAGTGAACTTTTAGTGGAGCAGCTTGTTTCATCTCTTACTTTTTCATATCTCACTTGAGTAGTCATTAGTGGCTCTTTGGGAGGGCTTTCACCTGTTGCTCAGTATACTCGTAGTGGCTCTACCCAGTTACTACCCAGGAGTAATGCTGATGACACCATAACGGAGCTGATCACCCACCCTTACTTGACTCAAGTGGTCTCAGGTTGCTCCTCAGGGGGGTCTTCACCAGGCATTATTTCTCACTTAATTGGTTGTTAATCTGTAGCTTTTGCAGAGGACTTTCATTCCTCAGGTATTTTCTTATTTCAAATTAACATTTGTTATCATATTTTATATATAAATATTTCTCAATGATAACTCTTTCCTTCATGTTCTAGGTCTAGAGCTCTCATATTTCGAGTCAAGATCAGTGTTCCGAGCTCGTCGCTCTTTCAATCGGCGGTGGCCGAGGGGAATGCAGTATGCTGTTACAGCACTACGAGTTTTATTACGGCGAGTGGACCTCAACACTTTACTAGATTTGTCAAGTTTTCACATGGAGGTCTGCTTACTTTTGGACTTTGCTTCCTCCTGCGGTCTTCGAGATAACCTTTTACAGATGTGTGAGATTTCATGTCGCACTGTTGAGTTTGGGTTTCTTCATCTAGACTAAACTTCTCAGAGATTGTCTTAAATGATTTTTGATGATTTAGAGGCTGAGACCAGAGCCACTTGGGATAGGATGAGGATAGATCGCCTTGATCTAGATTTTAGATTACAGACTTTAGAGCATTGTTAGCGGGACATTTTTAGGGTGTAGATTGTGCTTATGGGCATAGAAGCTGAGCTCAGAGTTTTGAAACTAAGGGAGAGAGCTCTTCTAGCGAGACGTCAAGAGGTAAGAGCAGCGGCTACCCATACATAGGACTTTTCTTTGATAGCTGTTGAGGTCGAGCATTTGGAGGGTAAATTGTCTTTTCCACAGAGTTTGAATCGGCGCGTCGTCGGTTGGAGTTTGCATAGGAGCAGCGAGCGATGTTGCAGGATCGTTTGTTTAGAGTTAGGCAACATATCAGCAACATTCAATTCAAACTTTAACAACCTCACTACTACCTTCCTGGTACTTATGCATATATTTATTTATAATTCTACATTAATTTTATAGTTTATCTTCTTTTTCTTTCTTTTTTTATAGCTCAACCCTTATGTTTGTGAGCATAAATGATTTAAAAGTTTGGCTCTTCGGCTTATTGAATCAATAGATTTTAGATCAACCCTTAGGGATTGTGAGCATAAAAAGCTTAGAGGTTCGACCTTAGGCTTATTGAACCAATAGATTTTAGCTCGACCCTTAGGTCTGTGAGCTTAAAAGACTTAGAGGTTCAGCCCTTAGGCTTATTGAACCAATGAATTTTAGCTCAACCCTTAGGTTTGTGAGCGTGACAAACTTTAGCAGTTAACTATAATGATAAATCATTAAGTCAATATGCAGTCTCATGATTCCCTTACACTGATTGATAAAGGGATATTTTTATAAAAATTGCCTCCTGTATTACAGGAGGGAGTATAAGGTATCTTCTACCTTATGGGATTATATAGATAAAATTGACTCTTATATTTCAGAAGGGTGTATGTCAAGTGCTCCTTGTATTGCAAGAGAATATGTAAACTTACATTATGTATCATAGGAATATATGTTGATCGTCACCTATTGTTATAGGAGAGATTAATATTATCTTTTATCTTGCATGGAGATATATAAATTGCCTCATGTATTGCAGGATTAGTTATAAATTTGCATCCTGCATTGTAGGAATATGTATAAATCGTCTCTTATTGTTATAGGAGTGATTAAATATCATCCCCTTCCTTATAGGGAGATATATATAAATTGTCTCATGTATTACATGAAGAGTTTTCATCATAATAATCTATCAATTGAGAGGTTATGTGTAGTATTTCTTCAGATATTAGCCATTAATTGGTAGCATAGGCCTTTGACCAAAAATATCTATAAGTTGGTAGGCTCCTACATATATCTTTTCGATAATGAAGGGCCCTTCCCATATTGGGTCGAATTTATCATCAACTCGGCGATGGGGGATTATGGGTTTTTTACAAACTACTACAAGCTAACCTTCTTTGAAGCTTCTAGGACAGACTATTCGCTCATGGGCCCTAGTCATACGCGCTTTATAAATTTCTAGATTTTGTTGGGCTTGAAGTCAAATTTCATCTAAAGCTTCAAGTTATTCCAACCTTAAAAGATCATTCTCTTCTCGGGTTAGTTCGTATTGTATAGCAATAAGAAGCGAGGGTAACTCTATCTTGAGAGGTAATATCGCTTCTATTCTGAAGACCAGAGAATACGGGCTAGCCTGTGTCGCAGTCTTATGGGTTGTGTAATATGCCCATAAAGCTTATGTTAATATATGGTGTCATTCTCTCTTATTTTTAGAGAGAATTTTCTTGAGCAGCTTAACCAAAGTTTTGTTAAATGTTTCGGCCAAACCATTAGCTCTTTGGTTATATATCGACAAATAGCCAGTCTATCTTATGGCGCTCTATAAATCGATAAATTTTGGTACTTTTAAAAGCGGTACTGTTGTCTGATATAATTCTACGCGGTACGTCAAAACGATAGACTATATTATTTCGGAAGAATTTCATCACATTGTCCGCTTTAACTTCTCGTAGGGGAATTGTTTCAGCCCACTTTGAGAAGTAATTTGTGGCAGCAAGGATGAACCGATGTCCTAAAGAGGAGCATGGTTCTATAGGACAAATTATATCGGTACCCCAACTTTCAAATGACGAAGATGATACTGTAGGATGTAGCAGGTTAAGGTGGTCGGTGTATAATATCGGCATGCACCTGACATTGATGACATTTCTTAGCATAATTAAGACAATCATTAACCATAATATACCAACAATATCTCATACGTTTGATTTTAATTTTCATTTTTGATCCAGATTGGTGTGCACCGCACAATCCTTCATGGACTTCAATTATGACTTTTTGGGATTTATCAGGACCCATACATCGTAGCCACATTTGGTCAAACGATCTATGATATAGTGCGTCATTTACGTAAGCATATCTTAACGCTCTCTTAGATATTTGCGAGGTGGTAGATTTATCCTTCGGTAATCAACCCTCTTTAAAATATGTAATGAATGGTTCCCTCCAGTCATTCTCATCTGATATATGCAAGCTCTCAGGTGTTTCTTTTCCCTCCTCTTCTTGTAAGGAGGCCGGGGCCAATGCATGTCTATTATGAATTATTATAATGATTGGATCCTCTTAAAAATTTGTCATTTCTTTAGCCAGTTTTGCCAGCCCATCGGCTTTGCCATTTTCACCACGTGAAATCCTAGTTATGGTTATCTCGGGGATTTGTTCTAGGAGTTTCAAAGCGTACTCACAATATGGGATTAGTTCGGGCTTAATAAACTATATCTTATAACAGGGATGGAACAATGTTTTATACACCTAGCCCGGTCTATCTGAAGGCAAAGGACAACTAATTATTGGATGCCTTCCCACTTGAAGATCCCAAAAATGCTTTGAATTGTGTTTTGCCTGTGCTGCCACGAATTACCAGTCAAAGAAACAGGGAATAGCAATCCAGGAAACAAGAAAAATAATTATAACTGCTGTCTACAGGAAGAGCAGAGGCAAAACAAAGAGAGAAGTGTCCTCTAGAAAAGGTAGAAGATAATGAGGTCAGAACATTAAGCGGAGAGCATTGGATCATGCAAAAAAATGACTCCAATTTTTAATTTCTGATATATATGCATTCCATTTTCTAGAACAATCTACAACATTCCATATCTCCATTTTATTATGTCATGGAGATGGAGACTCGCGTTTAGGAGCGTTGCCCTAGGAAAAGCCATCCATCCATTTTGCGGTGAAGGGATGTTGAGCCTGCTACTGAATAAATCACTAGATATCCCTGAGAGAGGGAGTTGCCAAGAGAATGGACAAATCACATGTCAAGGAATTGTCAAGCACCAGCATGACATACTCAAAAGATCACCTTGCTGCATAAGAAAAAAACATTATGTCTGTCCATCATGAAAGAGAATTACTCAGCCGATAACTAAAACTGTCCTGCTTTACAAATTCAATAAAAAAAACTAAGCAATTTTCAAAAAATTTTATATCAGTAAAAATCTGAAATTAAATGATTAGAAAGTCCATAAATAAGCATAGAAACATTAGCCAAGCACAATGAAAATATAATTGAAGAATTATAATAAGCAAACCTTAGTGGAGTTTCATGACTGCTAGGATAGATTTTATCACATAAAATGTGCATAAGCCTAGAATTTGCAGTTCTACTAATGCCCGTTATTTCAATTCCTCGGTCACATATAGAAGGCCAGACAGATGAAGATACTGCTGTTCTAAGAACAGCATGCAGTAGGTCATGAACAAATCCTGTAGCGATAGGAACTACGTTAATGCCATGTAAAGCAATACAGAGAGGTCATTCAGCACACGTAAGCGAAATTAACACAAAAATTAATTCTAAAACTTAATGGAGGGAAATTAATTAAGCAACAAAAATGAACAATAATTACCAAGAGAAATTCATACTTAGAGAATGAATTCAAATTAATAGTACACCATTCTGTTAAATCTCAACCCCTAGTTCCTGTATGAATCCAACGGCTTAGGATAGAGATCCATGGGAAGTTCTCTTGACTCACATTGAGTACCTTCCATAGCTAGACATCTGACTTAGGAAGGATTATATTACAGCAATTATTCATTATTCTATAGTTATTTGTTTCTTTCGTAAGACCTCTTGATAGATCTATAAATAGGAATGATGTTGTATAATAAAGTTATGGTTTTCCATCTCAAATCCAGGATTTCAACATGTTATCAGAGACACGAAGGAAGTAAAGAGGAAACTATCGGAAGCCTTACCGGAAGGAACCTTGCCAACTAAAGAAGAAGCCTCGCGGACGACCTCGCGGGATGAAGCTTTGCTGACGGAAGCCTCGCGGACGATCTCACAGGACGAAGCCTTGCCGACAAAAGGAGGCTCGCAGACAACCTCGCAGGATGGAGTTTTGCTGACGAAAGACAAAGCCTTGCGCACGATCTTGTGGGACGAAGCATTGTCGACGGAAGACGTAGACATAGTCTTCTGTTGTAGAACGAAACTTGCGAGACTGGGAAGCTAGCGGGACGGAATTGCATGAGCCAGCTCAAGCGTATGAGACCTCCCCATCTTATTACGGTATTTTCCAAACCTGTGAGACCAAATCAAATGACCTGATTTAATTAAAACCCTATAAATATCAGCCTTTGTTGTTAATATAATCAACCTTTATTGCTGACATAATTAAAAGTAATCTAGTTATACCACAATGTCTGAAGAAAATTCATCTCAGAGCTTTGATCAATTTGAAGATTCCATAATACGCCAAGAACGAGGTGATCTCCAAAGCATGCAACCTTCCCATAGCCTAAATGGGAAAAAATTATCTAAAATTGTCTCAATTTGTGATGACATATTTAAAAGGGAAAGGAAAAATACATCACCTCCTTGGAGGAGGACCAAAAGGAGGAAAACCTAATTTTGGGGCATAGGATGAAGCGGACTCTATGATTATGTCATGGTTATGGAATTTCATGACTCCAGAAATTAGTGATACCTTTATGTTCCTTTCCACTACAAATGATATATGGAATACTGCCAGACAAAATTTTCAAAAGATTGGATGCTGCTCAAATCTTTGAAATTAAAATCAAAGTATGAAGAACAAAACAAGGAAGCAAGATCATAATGGAGTATGCCACTCTTCTATAAAACCTATGACAAGAACTTGATCACTATAGATGCATAGAAACCAGGTCTCCAAAAGATGCTGCTATTCTAAAAAACTTTATTGAAAAAGATATAGTTTGTGATTTTCTTGCAGGACTAAATGCAGAACTTGCTCAAGTAAGAATCCAGATCCTTGGCAACGAGGAGACGCCATTACTGAATGAAAACATCGCTCTCATCCGCACTGAAGAAGCTGACAAGGCGTAATGTTGGATCCAAAAGTAGTTCAAAGCTCAGCAATGACAACCAAAGAAGCACCATGGAAGGAGAAAGGTAAAGACTGCAAAATTCAAAGACAGAGACTCTCTTATATGTAGCTATTACAAGAAGTCACGACATATAAAGGAGACATGCTAGAAGATACACGGAAAGCCCCCAAGGAGTGGAACCAAAGAAATGAGAAAAGAGTCACATCATATGCCAACAGCACAACAAGTCAGCCTAACCCAGAAACACCGACTAGCTTCAAAGAACTCAATAAAGAAGACAATGACAAACTCAAACAACTCCTGGTATCCCTTGAAAACCCACTTGCATCTTCCTCTCTTGCACTTTCAGGTAAGTTTCTCATATTCACTGGATTAAATACCTCTAGAAATCATTTGCAAAGTTTAAAATTTCGCAATTGGATATTGAAGGGTTTTCCATTCGTGAGGCGAGGCGTAAGCCTCAAGTCGTTTTGAGGTGTAAGCCTCAAAATCAAATAATTTTGTGAAGTGAAAATAAAGGTTAAAAGTGATTTTTTATATAATGCCAAAATAATATGTTAAAGAATGACATATTAGCTTTTTATTGAACTATGAAATAACAAAATAACATACATATGGAAAAAAATTGCACATGATGTAAAGTGACAAGTAATAAATTGCATAAAATAGAATTGAAATCCAAAAGCAAAATAACAGAAAATATTAGAATTGCATAAAAGTATAATATAACATCAAATTTAACTTCAAATTCCTTCTCTCTCACTTCCTTACTTATCCACAATTAATTCTTAAAGAAAGCTACAAGAGTTGTCAATGACTCAAAAACCATCTACATCGTCATCAGTGAGGAAGTTTTTACCTCTGTCTCATCCTATGGAGTCTAAGCCTCCCACTCTGCTTCTCCATCATTTATTTTAGTCATCTTCATCTTTCATAAATATTTATCATCAGTATAATGATGAGAGTAATACTCCTAAATTTTTAGATGAGGTGTTGGTGGTGTGCGGTTTTCAAGTGATCCCCAACGATGGCTATGAAAGTGGTGGCTGCGACGAAGGCGGTACGCTAGAGGTCGAGGTAGTCGGGAGGAAGTTGTTGTGGCTCGGGGGTGCATTAGAACATGATTTGTTTACGTCTTTAGTTTAGGATTTAGGTAAGTTTTAATAAAAAACATATATAAGTAGGGTGAGGCGTACCGCCTCACACCAACGAGGTGAGGCGCTTCTTAAGGCAAACCTCAGCCAAGTTGAGGCGCAAGCCTCATAAAAATATTCGAGGAGTAAGCCTCAAGGCATTTTTCAATGAAATTGCGTAGAGGCGGGCCTCAAGGAGAGCCTCATATTACGCAATTTTAAACAATGATCATTTAAAAGGAGTATGGATCATTGACTCAGCAGTCACATATCACATTACAAACTCCACTACTCACTTCATCAATTATGATCCTTGCCCAATAGACAAGAAAATCATCATTGTTGATGGTTCTTTTGACACAATAGAAGGCCAAGAAGGCATACCCTTATCCTCACCCCTCACTCTAAAAAATGTGCTCCATGTACCACAATTATCCATACAAAAACTTACCAATGACCATAATTGTCAAGCATTATTTAAACCAACCTTTTCCTTATTTCAGAACCAGTAATTGGGGAAGACGATTGGATTTGCTAAGGAGAGAGCTGGACTGTACTACTTGGAAGAGCTGAACAAATCTAAAAATAGCTACTCTATGTTATCCCTAGTTGACAAGAAATCTACTATCTAGCTTAAGCCTCGTTTGGTTCGTCGTAATTTCTCAGTTTCCATTTTAATCGGTGAAAAAATTATTAATTTAATGTTTATTTACGCGACTTTTTCAAAATACCTTTTGCTACAACTCTGTATTTTTGTCGAACCGAGAAGAAAAAAATTATGCATTTCCATTCTAATACCTCTATTTAAAAACGAAAAAAAAAAGTCCAGGGGAACCAAACGAGGGCTTAATCACTTCAGGTTAGGACATCCATCATTAGAGATCATGAAACATATGTATCCAAAACCTTTTCATAAATTGAAAAATAAAAATTTTCATTGTGAAACTTGTGAATTAATCAAATATAAAAGAACCTCTTTTCCAAACAAGAATAAGAGATGTGATACTCCCTTCTATCTCATTTATAGTAACATATGAGGAGCCTCAAAGATCCCCAACATCTCTGCGGCTTGCTAGTTTGTATCTTTCATTGATGATTGTACTCGAGTATCTTGGATATATCATCTTAAAAATAAATTTGACGTTAATATCATTCTTCCAATTTTTTACACCATGATCTAGAATCAATCGAGGTTAAAATAAAGAAATTTCGTTCTGACAAGGCCAAAGACTACTTCAAACAAACCCTATACTCCTATTTTCAGAGTAAAGGTATCATCCACGAGTCATGCATTCACACCCCACAACAAAATGATGTTGCAAAAAGAAAAAATGGTCACCTCCTAGCCTCCACTCGTGCATTCCAACTCCACCACAATAAACCAAAATCCTACTGGGGGGAAACCCTCCTAACTGTCACTTACCTCATAAATCGATTACCTTCAAAAACCTTGGGGCTGAAAGCTCCAATGAATATTTTGTCCTCCTTTTACCTCGAGTTTTGAACACATAATAACCTTACACCCAGAATCTTTGGGTGCACTGCTTATGTTCACATTCACAACTAGAACAGAGGAAAACTAGATCCAAGGGCACTCAAATATATCTTCATTGGATACTCTGCCACCAAAAAATGTTACAAGTGTCATCATCCCCTACAAAGAAAACATGTGTATCCAAAAATGTCACTTTTGATGAACAAAATTCCTACTTTACCAAATCTCACCATTAGGGGGAGACTGAAAAAGAGGAATATGATGAAAATATGCTTGGCCCTCCTGAAATTCAAAATAGGGAAGCTGAAGACAAAACTATCCTTAGATTTGAGAATGTATACTCCAGGCGTACAAGTTCAAATTGTGCTTCGAAGCAGATCAAAGAATTTGAATCATCCCCTGAAAATAAGGTAAGCTCACCACCTCCCTAATATCCTATAACCAACTCTATATCATTCAATAATTTTTCCTCCCTGTACAAAAACTTCCTGATTACACCAGATGATATTTATATTCCTAATGATATTTCTGAGGTCTTATCCGATGAAAATTAGAAAAATATAATGAAATATGAAATGCAAGCCCTAGAAAAGAATAACACATGGGAGATCATCAACCAACCGATAGGAAAAAAAATCAGTCGGCTGTTAATGGGTGTTCTCTGTAAAATACAAAGCTGATGGTACACTAAAAAGAAACAAGACAAGACTAGTGGCGAAAGGGTAAACTCATACATATGGCATTGACTACCAGGAAACCTTTCCACCCGTAGCCAAGATGAACACTGTCAGAATCTCATTCTCAATAGCAGTTGACATAACAAATACATTCCTACATGAGGAATTGAAAGAAGAGATATTTATGGAAATATCACCAGGATTTAAGAAAAATTTTGGAGGTTACAAGGTGTGCAAACTGAAAATGGCTCTATATGGGCTCAAACAATCACCAAGAGCCTGGTTTCGAAGGTTCTCTAAATTCATGCTTCTTAATGGGTATAAACAAAGTTAAGGGGATCATAAACTATTTTTTAAACACTCCTACACATGAGAAGTTACAATACTATTAATGTATGTGGATGACATTATCTTGACTGGGAGTAATGAAAAGGAGAATGTCTACGAAAAAATCTAACCAAGGAATATGATATCAAAGAACTTGGTATGCTAAAATATTTTTTTGAAATTGAAGTAGCTTACTCCAGCAGAGGAATCTTCATCACACTGCAAAAATACGTTAAAGATCTTTTGAAAGAGCTAGGAAAACTAACATGTAAGCCAACACCAACACTAGTAGAACCAAATCTCAAATGGGGGTAAACTAAAGAAAATCTAAATGTAGACAAGGGTGCATACCACCAGAGACTTGTGGGAAAATTGATCTATCTTTCCCAGACTAAACCAGATATTTGTTGTAAGTATGGTCAATCAGTTTATGCAAAATCCAAAACAAACACATATGCAAGCATTACATAAAATACTACATTACCTTAAGGGAAACTCAGGGAAATGGATTCTATTTAGAAGAGATCACGGAATAACCCTAGAAGCATACACTGACGTTGATTATACAGGATCACTAATAG